GGAGTTCCAACGGTTATCAATACATATTAGTCGTCTCTGATTGGTTCACCAAATATCCTTTGATATGTCCATTACGTAATGCTACTTCTAGCAGTATCATAAAATTTTTAGAGAATGAAGTATTCTTAGTATATGGCACACCACAACAGATTGTGTGTGATAATGGTAAACAGCTAGTAAGTAAAGCTATTAAAAAACTTGTTCAGGATTATGGGTCAAATTTTAGATATACTCCATACTATCATCCCCAGGCAAACTATGTCGAACGATCAAATCGTACAATTTGCACGGCTATAAGATGTTATGTTAACGGTAACCATAAATCGTGGGATAAAGAATTACCTAAAATTGCATACTCTATGAGGACCGCTATTCACGAGATAACAGGCTATAGCCTAGCATTTCTTAATTTTGGACGTGAAGTTCCATGCTCAGGGAAGTACTATGGGGATGGTAATGTGGATATTTTTGATTTAGGTGATAGAGAAAAATGGGTTCAAAATTTAGGCAATTTATCTGAAATTTTCAAAGATGTCCAATCTAAACTAACCTCTGCATATCAAAGGAATGCAAGGTATTATAATTTGCGTAGAAGGGACATGGAATTTTTTGTGGGTGATAAAGTATGGAAAAGGAATTACGTTCTTTCTGATGCTGCAAACAATTTTGCTAAAAAGTTAGCGCCGCGTTACGTTCTTTGCACTGTAGCGAAGAAAAATCGAAACTTGTATATGTACTCAAGAATGAGGACGGTACAAATGCAGGAGTATGGCACATACAGGATTTAAAACCTTATGATGGGTCTGAATTTTCTTCGGTCGATACTGATGATGAGTTAGAAGAAATAAGTCGAAACGACGTTTGATCCAGGGGTTATCTGTTGCCGGGAAGCACCTCCCAGGGGGTTTTGTAAATAGAAGGGTAGGAGTAATGTTAGGATCTCATCATTAGGAATAGTGTTGGGTAAGGCCTAGGTTAGTTTTCATCATTCAAATCGAGCTCGATTCTCATCTCACCATACATAAAATATAACTGTACTAGGATTGTCCCCAATTAAAATAGACATGTACCTGCATGCCTATTTTTTTCGTCGGAGAGGGTGAATGTAACATGTGATTTTCCTTTTTTACCTTTATTATATGGGTTTGTTATTAAGTTAACCAAGAGTAACACCCAGTATATTATGATGATGTAAGATACTCAATAGATTATGTGACTGCAACACTTTACATTTTGTTATGGCAGGTGGATCGAATATCCTGTTGGCGTTGGACCTCTTGTAAGCTGAACTTGAAGATTTCTTTGTCTTCCTGGTGTGACTGTCTATTAGTTTCAGGGTTGTATTTTTCAGGTGTCCATAGCAGTGGTGTTGATCTGTCCTTCTTCCTAGCTGTAATGATAAACGGTGTACATTTCTAGTTGCTGTTGACTGATTGAATGGATAGAAGTTGAAATGCACAGTTTGACGAACCTGTTGGAAATTAATATGTCCTTGCTGTTTTCAATTTAATTATGGATCCACAGGAAGTTATATTTGAAGTAGTTGTAATTTTTTTTTTTATCGCTTGGAGCGCACGAAAGGGAATCCCTATAATGTTCAAAGAACATCGTGCGTTCCTAGGGAGGATAGGGATAGGAGGTAGGTATTGGAATTTTTTTTGAACTTCTGGAGATGATATGTTGTTGGGAATACTTCCTCAGGCAATGAATTCCAGAGCCTAGCCGTTCTATGGATAAATGAGTTTTGATAAAGTGCTGTTCAACATCTTTCGAGGTTGACAACGAAAGGATGTGCTGACTGGGCTTGTCTAGTTCGTCTGACTGGTATTGCTAGTGAAGGGATAATAGCAGAGATTTCCGAAACACATTTCTCGTGGAAGTATCGATAGAAAAGTGAAAGGTCGCCGACCTTTCTACGGTGTTCCAATGATGTCAAAGAGTGAGTGAGTGTGGCATCACCCACCAGGCGAATGGCTCTTCTCTGGATGGAATCTAAGAGCATCAGCGTATGTTTTGGTGCTGCGCTTTGTAGATCATGAGAAGCTGTTGAGGTGTAAAGTAGCTTTTCGCACGGAACAAGAATCCGAGTTTTTGTGAAGCAGCTTTTGCGATGGATCTGACATGATTATCCCATGAAAGAGTGTTGCTGATGGAAATACCGAGCATAGATATGGTGGGCTTGGTGGAGATGGTGGTGCCAGACATTACAATGTCGGGCATACTGAGTTCCGCTTTTCTAGAGAAAATACAGGCTTGAGTTTTGGTGGCGTTGAATTCAACTAGGTTGTTGGTTCCCCAGGCTGTGATTTCAGCAAGGTCTTCATTGACAGCATTGACCTGCCTGCGCCGTGAGTTCTTAGTTTCCTGGGAAGAAATGGGAATTCTGGATGAGAAAGCAGTATGGAGGGTACTATCATCTGCGAAGCTGTGGATGGGGCAAGTTGTTACTCCCAGCAGATCATTGATATGAAGAAGGAATAATGTTGGTGCCAAAATTGATCCTTGTGGAAAGCCGGAATTGATGCCAATGGTATCAGACGATACACCGTCCACCACCACATGAAGCGATCTGCCTGAAAGAAAACTCGATAAGAGATGGCATAGCTGAGGTGGTAAGCCATATGATGGTAGTTTGTGGAGGAGTCCTTCGTGCCAAACACGGTCAAATGCTTTCGATATGTCCAACGCGACAGCTAGAGATTCCCCGTATTTTTCCAATGAAGCTTGCCATAAATGGGTGACGTAGGCAAGTAGATCTCCAGTAGATCTTCGGTGGCGAAAGCCGTATTGTCTATCATTGATGATTCCTGAGCTCTCCAGATATTTGATAAGTTCAATGTTGATGGCTTTCTCCATAACTTTGGAGATTACTGATAACAGGGCAATGGGCCTATAGTTGTTGGGCAGGTTCTTGTTCCCTTTTTTTGGGATTGGTTGGACTCTAGCTGTCTTCCAGCATGATGGAAAAATACCCGACCTGTACGAGACGGTAAACAACTTGCAGAGAATCGGTGTTAATTCTGGTGCACATTTTTTGAGGATAATGGGTGGAATTCCATCAGGACCGTTAGCCTTATCCGTTTTGAGACCAAGCAAAATTCGTCTGATAGTGCGTTGACAGAAGACGATTTCGGGCATTCGACTCTCAACCGGTGGAATGTCTGGCGGCACTTTTCCTTGGGAATCTAAAGTAGAGTTTGCTGCGAACATCTCTGCAAAGATATTTGCTTTCTCCTGCGATGTTGTTGCTAATGTGCCGTCGGATTTGGACAGTGGTGGAAATGAACTATTAGTGAAATTTCTTCCGACCGCTTTAGCAAGGGACCAAAACGAACGGGAGCCATTGGGACAATCTATGAGTTTCGATCTTATCTTGGCATTGTATGTTTCTTTCGAAGCATCTATTGTTTGGCTGCAGTTATTCCTGGCATCAACGTGTTTATATTCATATTTCAGTTTCAGTCTGACAGTTCAATTGGTTATGTGAATTGTTAGGTTATTTCGCTTCGTCCATAGCCTTGTGAATTTATCACCTTCTTTTATTTTCGGCCTGCTGGCAACATTTTTGGTTAGACCAATGTTACTATAGTTCTGTGTCAGACCTAACTTCACAATTCTTTAAAAACGGGCAAAGGCCCATTAGGACATTTTCCTTAAATAATCTAGGTATTTCAATATTCTCTGTTGGTAATATTTATCAACTAGTCAAGATTCCAACTGTACTTGCGCAGTGAATTATTTCTAATTCGAAACATGTTTTTATAGATGGTTTTGTTTTCTGAGTGCACAGAAAACTCTTGAAATTTCTTGATTTCCTTCTTCTCTACCGAGAGTAGGCAAGATGGGCACGAATTTTGCCATTTTCCATCCAACCTTTGTGGGGTTTGATACCCTTATTTTTGGCCATTCCAGACGGAAGGTGAGTCCATAAACCTATTCAATGTTTTCAATTTGGTATATTTCCAACAGATTTATTGGCCTTTTCATGGTGGATGTCCTGGTGGGACGCCATCGTCATAGCGTGCTAGCCTGTTGCTAGTAGTAGCCTCCGGTTGATTTTTGGAACTTTCCTCTCGATCCTATCCTGAGCCATCCATGATGCCACAAGGTGACTAGAAAGTCTCAACTTCATTTTTGGGGCTATTCTCTTGATCCCACCTTGTTGTGCCGTCCACGATGTTGAAGGGTGACTAGGAAGTCCAGGAAACCTTTTTTTTCAACTGCACCGGCTAGAGTTTGGAGTTGGAGTGAAGGCAGTGAAGGACAGAGCAGCACCACATGCTCCGCAGACACTAAGGTCAGATCAATTTTGATTATACTTTTGTTCCTGATGATCCAGTAGTGCGCAGCACCAAGTTGAACCACTATTCAAGTCTTACTACTCGTAACAACAGTTTTTAATTTTATATTTGAAATACCACTTAACTAAATCATAATGGGAGTCCAGTCATTCTGTGAACCGGAAATATAGGCCTAAATAGAAGGGGAATATCTTGAGATATCTACAATTTTTTGTTCTGCCTAAGCATATAACTTATACAACACTGAGAAAGTGATTTATTCATTTTTCTGCACAGTAAGGTGTTACTGAAGGTATAATTGAAATTGTGTGTCACATGAACTTGCTACAAACATCTGAAGAATTATATTTCTCTGGTACAGTTATTTGGTGTTTCATTAGATATTCAAATTCTATGTCAATATTAAATTTTCTTAGTTTTCCTACTACTGAAAACTGAGTGGCGCCTGGCGAAAGGTCCCTAAAAATACATAACTTCTTGAATCCACAGTCTGCTCCCAAACAACAGAGCTGCCGTGCCTATAACATAACTACACACTAGTCTTGCAATTTACTATTTATTATACAACATCCATAAAATAGCAAGATAGCGTTATAGAAGAAGCTGAACAAAGATTGGAAATCTTTCAAAGCTCTTCTGAAGAATCTGAGGTTTCGAATGTTGTATCACGAACACCAACCCCACCACCAACCTTTCCAGATGAAATAAATGATGAAAGTTCAGATGAAGAAGCTCCTACCATCACAGATGAGATCACAGCTGATGCCGATGAAGACTTAGTTCGTGAGTTCATTAATGAAACTCAACCCACATAATATTATTTATTTCAATTCATAATTTTAGTTTCAGAATCATTCACGAAGTCGGTGATCGATGCATTCAGCACTACAAATCGCGACCCAAAATACGAAAATATGGAAAATTCTTTTGGTGAGATTGCTAAAGAGGTGGCGAAAATTTCAACGGTTTAGGAACAAATATTATTACAGTTGAATATTATATCAAGCTTACTTAGAACTGAAGAGTGTATCGAGCAATCTCCCGATTGTCCAAACTTCCCCATCAAAGTTGAAGAGGACTTCGTTAAGTTAGAAAATTTCATCAAACAGCCAGAGCATGAAAAATTCATGGTTAGTACTGTTTGAAAATCACTGTATTATATTTTGTCAACTTGAGAAATTACGACGAAATCATATTCATAACATTCCATGAAAACTGATTATCGATTTGTCAGGATTTGATTCGATCACATATTATCATCAGCCGAAATTTCAGATCACACGTTTGAAATCAATCGGTGGAAACTCACCCGAGGACCACACAAGAGGAATCTTGAGATTTATTCTGACTAATGAAATAGCTTGTCTTTTCAATTGGAGAGGTAAAGATAAGAAGGCATTCAAGGACACGAAGGTGATACAACTGATTTATGGTTTGTACATTTTTATTTCCCTTTTTTTCATAATAATTATATTGATTAATTTATGCAGTTGCTGTCAAGAGGGAATTCGGAGCTGCAACTGATGCACAGATATCAGATGCCACAAAAGATTGGTTGAAATTCGCCAAGAAACGCATGAATGATGCCATCAAGTCAAAACAGAAGAGTAATAACTGATTGGAATTGATCTATAAATTTATGTCTAGCAAGAATTTACACGTGTATTAGTATTTTTGAGTTACCTTTTATTTTCGCATTATCGTACCTGAATTTGTTTTTTATTTTTGATATTTGATATTTTATTTTTTTACGTTTTTTATGTATTTTCAAACATTTACTTTTCTTATTGAAATAAGTTGATGAAACCTGTGTCTTTGGCCAGTCTCCTTCATCCAGATATGATAATAAGTACCTACCTATACTTGAAGAAACGAACAAAAGGTGAAATCAAGTTTAGTCTTTTGAAATACTTCATGTAACCATCATCATTTAATGACGTTGGAAATTTTATATCGATTGAGGATGGCATCAATGTAGAGAAAAACTCGATATTTCGTTGAGTATCAATATTTTTCATTTATGGAAGAATTCCTCACGATATAGTATCAGTATACTCATTGAACCTGACGATATCTTAACCTTCTCCATTATAAAATATGTGAAGAGATTTGTGCAGAATATCAGAATTGAATGGAGAGTGCTTCGAATAGAATTATGTGAAATGATTCGCAAACCAAGCGAAAATCACGGATACTCAGCGTTTATACTATATTGTAATAGAACTCTGATAATTTTAGTTGAAAGTGATTCATCTCAAACGTTTCAGGGTATTAATAATAAAGGTTGATTACTAGTGAAAATGGAAACGTTTCTTCACATCATGTCAAGAAACGTTGTAGTAACGTTTGAAATGGGTGGTGATATCGATTCGACGATATTATAAATTATCGTTGATTCAACCTAGAATATATCAACGTTACCTGAATACTGAAATTCTACGTTTGATTCAAGTAATAACTCTACGTTTATATTAGTGATAATATAGTACCAACATTAACGTTTACAATTCTTATCTCAGCAACGTTACCATGAAACCAAGATACATCGTTATATTCAAGTCGATTCATAATGTTTAAAAAACGTTGAGAAACAGTTGAAATGTATAGTTACGTTGGAACTGAAATAAAACGTTATGTTTCAGTGGAATTTACATAAGGTGCAACGTGTTAGTAACGATGAATCAGCGTAAAAGGAGGTATCACGTTTATAGAACGTTTCAGGGTGATGGTAATAAAAGTTGAATCCTATTGAAAATGGATACGTGTCTCCACTTCATGCCAAGAAACGTTCTAGAAATGTTTGAAATGGGTGGTAATATCTATTCAACGATATCATTTATCATCGTTGAGTCAACCTAGAATATCAACTTTACGTGAATACTGAAATTCTACGTTTGATTTCAGTGATGATTCTACGTTTGATTTCAGTGATATTATAGTACCAACATCAACGTTTACAATTCGTATCTCAGCGATGTTACCATGAAACCAAGATACATCGTTATATTTAGGTCAATTCAAATCATTGAAAAAACGTCGAGAAACTGTTGAAATGTATATAGTAACGTTGGAACTGATATGAAACGTTGTAAATCAGTGGAATTTACATTACGTGCAACGTGTTAGTAACGATGAATAAACGTAAAGAGGTATCGTTGTTAAAAAACCAGAATATAACGTATTGCCTAACGACATTTTGCAGTTTTTTCAACGATGCATGATAGTGGCGTTACTTGAAGAATTCAACGTTCTTTCCACGTACGTGTGCTAATTGGGTACATTTATTTATTTTCAGTTGATCATTTCTTCCGTAATTACTTTCATTTTCATTTATTCATTTCAATCGTTTTCTGTAAAAGTTCAGAGCGGCTGATGAATGATTAAATAAAACCGGGCTAGATACTTTTTGCGAATTTGATTTGATTTATTCATTAATTAATTCCGTGGATATTAGATTCAAAACGCTCACACGTATGATATGGCTTCGCATTCGATACGGCAATGCTCGCGCAGCGCGCTTCCCTCTCTCTATCAAGAGTGAAGACACGCGCTACGAAATGGAATCGCGAAGGCAGGAGTTCGATTGCAGAGCGCTTGGGCCGCATCAGAAGACCGATACCGAGGAGAGGAAGATACCGAGAGGATACGAGAGGAACCGAACAGACCGGAGCTACCAGAGCTTGTATCATTGGCAAGTCAGTCAACAGCCAGACACCGACCGGAGAAGAAGCACCGCAGTACAACCGAACACCGAAGACCAGACTGCATAGCAAGCAAGCACTTGGGTGAGAGTACTGAAATATACGATATTATAAATATAAAGTATTGCATTATATATAATTATATTATAAGTTAGTGATTTCTTGGTGGAATATGTCGAGCTCTCTTACTCTCCAAGAACGGTGACTCACTGACTTGAAGAGTGGAAAGCTGCTTAGCTGAAGTGTACCTTCCTGTGAAAACGGTGACCCATCGAGTCACAGTGGGGTGGATTGAATTATTCTTCACGAAAACGGTGACTCATCGAGTCGTGAAGTATTCCCCAGCACAGCGAACCTGTCCCCTGGTGACTCATCAAGGGAGAGGTTACGGCTCACAGTGAATTTCGGGATAACAAAGGTGACTCATCTAGTTATCCATAAATTCATAGGATGCACTATAGTAGTTTGCTTTGCTTAGTGTTTAGCTTTTCACTAGATCTGCTTGCTTTTCTCGCTTGTTCTCACTAGTTTTTGAGCTGGAATGTACTATCTGCTAAGTCGATGCTCACTGCCGGCATCCGATGTTCAATTAACGCGATTTATCTTGAGAAAGTCACTCCGGTTTGATTTTGATAATAACTAGAGCGACGGAACGGGTGGGTTGGGATTTTAAGGGTTTCAACTGATTAGGATGAATTATTGTAAATAGATATGTAAATAAATGTACAAACTTGTTGAGTGATTTGGAATAAATTGAATTGTCAGATCAAAACGTTATTTTATTCAGAGCAGCATGTAATCCGCGATAAGGAAAGTTAATTGAATCAGTAGTGTCATTGTAACACATATTGCATCATAAAACCCTGGATTACCGATTCTTCGCTTGAAGCTGCCCGGTGCAAAGTGGACCTACCACTATAATGTAGGTGGCGCCCGAGTTATTTCTTTGGATATTCAAACGACCCGAACTGAAGTGTCAGATAACCTATCTCCAGGTAGATATCGTTACATCATTTAGCATATGGAAAGTGCAAGAGCTTCTTCCAGGTGATTTTCAACTGAGAATAGATCATTGTCGTTGGTTTCTGTTGCAACACAATGAAGATGTTTCTGTCACACGAAAAATTATGTTCATCGATGAGACGACGTTCACGAGGAACGGAATCATGAACTTGCCTAGTGCTCATCAGTGGGCAGATGAGAATCCAAGAGCCATCATGCCAACTCACCACCGAAGGAGTTTCAAAGTGAATGTTTGGGCTGGGATTTTAGATGACAATCTATATATATATATATATATATATATATATATATATACGTGCACAGGTATCTTACTCACCTCCATACATCTATAAGGCGACCAGGCCTCCACCTCAAGGGAAGCACATTTCTGTGTGTTTTGTGTTCCATTTGAATGAATGAGGTCATAGTACAAAGGGCATCAAGAGAGGGGTAATGATTTCGAACTTTTTCTTATATACAATTTTTTGCCATATTTTCAAATGTAATAGGGCTCCGGAACACGAAACGTCTCAGTGGCCTCTTTTGTATAATTTCAAGATAAATAGATGCAGTACTCACCTCCAGCGGTGTTGCCGATACATGAAAGGAGCAGGGATGGATATGACTGCCACTTGTTGCTTTTTGTATCATATTGTTTCAATATCTACTTTCGTACTTACTGTTTCGAAAACCTCTCGAAACAAAATAGTAGTGATAAATTTGTGATGAATTCGTGTTATTTCATGTCGAATGAATAACTTCATGAATAAATAGTTTTTTGGGAGGCTTCTTGGGTTTTGGATCCGTTTGTAGAATTAAAATAGTAGGAATTTATAAAAAGGTTTCGCCCATGGCCATCGGCTTTGTTAATTTATTACAAGAACATGATGTTGAACAGTGGAGTCTAGCTGTGGATTAAAAATACAATTTACATTTTGAAATTATGAAAGTGATCAATAGTATGTATGTATAGCTCAGTAAAACGATCGTGAAAAAAATCAAGTAGTCGATTTCTCTGCGGTACCATATGCTACTGGAGATTCTGAATGTGGATCTGAAGTTTGGAAACAAAATTTCCTGGAGCGTTTCGAAATATTCGCAAAAAAAACAGAGAAATTTTCGCACTACGTTCAGTTTTGTACCCGTTACTTGGAAACTATGAATTGTTTGATAAAACCGTTCCATAAAAAGTTGAAGTGAATGAAAATTTATATAAATAATTCTTTCTGTTCATGAATGAAGGTCTAACGGGTGAGGTGCTAGAGCAAGTTGAATATTGACCAAATTTACTCATCTTGCAGAGAAGTAGTGTTCTTCGTCATTTGTAGTTCCACGCATTCCTAGAAAAAACAAACTACATTGTCTGATATGGAGAAAATTTTGCTATGTGACTAATTGCTCTCGTCAGCGTGTTACTCGTTTTTTGATTTGTAACAGTAGTTTAGGTATATTTACATCAAATAGGTTCAATAATATTCTTCACACTTGCTTCTTGATATACCTGAGCTGAGCAAAAAGAAGGTTTTTTTCATATACCGTCAGATAGAGATGAGAGTACCCTGGAGCGAACACAATCTGCTCCACCTGCACCATTACCACCTCCAGAACTGGATCTTTCATGGTATCAGTCTCCTACTGTAAGGATTTCCCCATCTTATGGTCATCTATATATCCCCAGACATCTGATGAAAGCTAGGAAACTCTTGACCATCAAGTTTTCCCCCTCAGTAAGCGTCAGGTTGACCAGTTCTAGGTGAGTCAGCCATAGGCGAACTAGTTCTTTACATACATTGTTTTTGCTCGTAAATGTTATACTAGTGAGTGAGGAGCTAGAGCAAGTTAAAAAATTTACCAAATAGCGCTCTTGGTCGGCTATTCGTTAATAATTCATAATCTACCATAACTTGAGACAACACATCATACACTGATTAAAAAACATTGAGTTTTCTATAAAGCTCATGTCGAGTTCGTGAATAGACGAGAAAATCGTATATTCGATTGCTCGGACGTGGAGACGTATGCTGGTAGTAATCGTCACAGACAAGTTCATCTTTTCCACTCCTTCCAATTCACCATTCACCTATATTTTTAGAAGCTCTGAAACATATGAATGGATCATAGTTTTGTTCTCGTATTATAAGTAGTGGGGGGAACATGGAAAGTTGATTTTTCTATACGCTATAATTATACTTGTTATAATTACGTTGAAATAATTCTGATTGATATAGGTATTGTTCATAGATACTGATGAAACATTGATAATAACTTTTCAAACTATTGAAACTTTTCGTTTATGTGCATGGATTCCAGGGCACGAGGCAGCTGATCGCCTAGCGAAAAAAGGTGCATAGTCTGTATCCTTCGATCCTCAGACTTACTGTGGGACAAGCTCCTACTGCTGAGAAATTCTAGGTCAATGAGAACAAGGTCATCAACAATTATTGAGTCTTGGCAAACTAGAGGTGAGGCACTGTCCTCTCTGGTATCACTCGAAAAAATAGGCCTAGTGTTGACTCAAACTTGCCGGAATACATACTTTGTTCATGCATGCGACGTTCTAGATCGCTAAAGGCTGAATCAACTAACATAGATCTATACCTGATGCCTACTGAGGTGCAGAATTCAACCATCAAGAAAATTATAGGTTTCATCAGATGTCTGAGGATGAAGATGACCATAAGATGAGGTTAATTTCTACAATCTTTGATCTATTCGTCGCTATATCGTCGTTTGGATTCGATTCTGGAGGTGATGATGATGCAGGTGGAGCAGACGAAGTTCGCTCCAGGTTACTGTCATCCACAGTCTGGTGGTATATGAGAGAAATCTATACTAAAGAACTGAGAAAAATCATGAATCGAGTTTCACGCTTCCAAAATCGATAACTCTCATGGCCAGGACATAAGGCAGTGTAGTTTGTTTCTTCTAGAAATACGAACCCCCAGATACGAATTTTGAATAGAATCGGATCATAATTACAAAACTCGTTCGCCATATTGGAGCTGACATCACGAGTTTTTCAATTTTGATGAGAGAATCATAATCTTCGACCCCGAAAGCACCCAGATACTAATTTCTAGTAGAATTGGATCATAATTACAAAACTCGTCCGCCATATTGGAGCCGTCATTTTGAATTAATTTAATTTTGATGAGAGAATAATAATCTTTAACCTTGAAAACTCCCAGATACCAATTTTGAATAGAATCGGATCATAATTACGAAATTCGTCCGCCATATTGGAACCGCCATTTTGAATTTTCCAACTTCGATGAGAGAATCATAATCTTCGACGCCGAAAACCTCCAGATACCAATTTTGAATAGAATCAGATCATAATAACAAAACTCGTCCGTCATATTGGAGCCGCCATTCTGAATTCTCTGATTTTGATGAACGAATCATAATCTTCGACCTCGAGAACCTCCAGATACGAATTTTGAATAGAATCGGATCATAATTACAGAACTCGTTCGCCATATTGGAGCCGCCATTACGAATTTTCCAATTTTGATGAAAGAATCAAAATCTTCGACCCCGAAAACCCCCAGATACCAATTTTCAGCAGAATCGGACCATAAATAAAAAACTCGTAAACCATATTGGAGCCACCATTCTGAATTTTTGAATTGTGATGGGAGAATTATAATCTTCGGCCTTAAAAACCCCCAGATACCAATTTTGAATAGAATCGGATCATAATTACAAAATTCGTCCGCCATATTGGAACCGCCATTTTGTATTTTCCAACTTTGATGAAAGAATCATAATCTTCGACCCCGAAAGCACCCAGATACTAATTTTTAGTAGAATTGGATCATAATTACAAAACTCGTCCGCCATATGGGAGCCGTCATTTTGAATTAATTGGATTTTGATGAGAGAATAGTAATCTTTAACCTTGAAAACTCCCAGATACCAATTTTGAATAGAATCGCATCATAATTACGAAATTCGTCCGCCATATTGGAACCGCCATTTTGAATTTTCCAACTTCGATGAGAGAATCATAATCTTCGATCCCGAAAACCTTCAGATACCAATTTTGAATAGAATCAGATCATAAT